TGTCCACTTCCGGAGACGAAGCAGAAGTGGGACAAATCGTCGAAGTCGATTTAACTCTGGATAGGGACGACCGGGATTACAGTTCAGGAACGGAGACTTGTGTAATCACACCAGAAAAAACAAGACACAATTCACGAAAATCTGAGTACAAACGGGGGGAACAGTTAATGGAGTCAGATAACCCACTTTCACTCGTCAAATTATTTGACAAAAGTCTTCTTGCAGAACTAGTGTCGGAAGATACCTGGATGGACCGGCTAAGAAGAGTAGTCGAACGAAATGACAGACATGGTTTCGAGCTCATGGGACCCTACACAAATCCTCTGTGGCACCAGATGTCGGTGGTAGACGATTGCCTTCTAGTAGACAATCGTTTGGCCGTGCCCGAAAAGTTGAGACAAGCAGTGCTCCGACGACTTCATCAAGGTCATCCTGGACAGGAAGCAATGTTGGAGGTCTCAAACTACCTGTGGTGGCCGCATATGCATAAAGACATAGTCAATATGGCCGAAGAGTGTAGAAGCTGTACTCGTTATGGTAAGAACGCTAAATACTTAATTCCCAAAAATTCGACTAAACCACTCCCACTGTTGTCACAGCCAGGTCAAGAACTACAATTAGATTATGCGGGCCCACTTGAAGATCATAAGGGGAAGAAGATATACTTATTAGTCGCTATTGATAGATACTCAAAATTTCCATCAGTCAAAGTAACAAAATCTACAGGGGGAAAATCAACAATAAAATTTCTCCGTACTTACATAGACACTCATGGAATACCGGAATCAATTAAAACGGACCAATTTTCGGGGTTCAAAGGGAAAGCTATGAAAAAATTTTGCACCGAAAATAACATCGAACAAAAATTCTGTCCAGTCGGGGATCACCGAGGATGCGGCTTGGTCGAACGAACAATACAAACCATTAAAAGAAGATTGGGGGTAATGCTTCTCGACGAGAAAGTACAATCGATTAAATTATGTTTGAGTACAATAATTAGGGACCTAAGATGGAATAAACAGAAATCAATAAAAGTGTCCCCGTTCGAAGCACACTTTGGCCGATTACCGAAAACGGAATTTAAGATTGTAAGGGATAAATTTTTGATGGATTCTGATCGTTTAGATAAAAAACACTTGGAGAGATCGGCACTAACAGCATCACAGCTGAAAAGGCGAATAGATCAGTCGAGGGAGAATGTTAAAATCATTCGCAAAGGACGAAATAGCAGGGATACAAGCCCTTTGTTTCGACACGACACGGCGATAGCAAAAGAGAGGGCCACAGCTAAAGAACTCAAACAACTTCTAGAGGCAAACGCTAAGTGGAATGCCACCAGACGGGACCTCTCAGACAGCGAATTACGCCGGGTCGTAGATGAAACCAGTACGATAAATCCCGAACTGAGGAAAGAACTTCTATACTCATGGGAACGTGGATTCATTGAAGACAAACAAACCAAATCAAAGGAGGATTTGTCTGGAAGTTTCCTTCGGAAACACGAACAAAGGAAGAGCGGGAAGGCCCTGACAATACCCTTAAAATCCAAGATAGTATCAGCGACACCATCGACCATCAAAACGGCTGCGGGTGCAGTATATAGAAAAAGCGACATTGCGCGATCTAAACTGTCCACACAGCCCAAAGTCTATAGTGCAGAGAAGAAAAGGAGCCCAACCGGAGAGGAACCGAGAAGTAAACAACAAAAAACAGGAACACTCCCAGTACAGGAAGACAGCGATTCTGCCGAAGAACATGACGCGAAAGACCGGGGGCTGCAAGACGAAAATCTAGAAGATAGTCAGCTAAAAGAAAAGTTCCAAAACTCACCGAGCGTAGTCACATCAAGAGACACAAGAACCGGCGGAGGCCTTAACTTAGGAGGTAAACGGGAAAAACCGAACAGAGCAGGACCGATAGTCCAGAACAAAAAACCGACAAGGGGCAAAACACAAGAATCAGGAACGACGAAAGCTGCCAAAACAGTTACTAAACAACGTGATACGAGTAACGAGGCAGTATACATACCGTCGTCGACACCAAAGGAAGCTCCTACTACCAAGAAGATCACAAAACAGACAAGTGAAAAAGAAATTCTGGACACATTTCAAAACAATAACATGACATCTCAAGAATGGGAAGATGTAACAAATCAAGTGTTGACTCGCGGAGTCCAAAAAGAAGCCGAGAAACTATTGTCACGACAAATGGACCCAGTAGATTATTCCACACCAGGATTTGCGGACGAATCCGATAAGGAGGAAGACACCACGACAGTCAGACGGAGTAATAGACAAACTAAAAACCAGGGACCGAAGAGGTATGGCAGTCCCGTATCACACTCGATAAAACTGATTGGTTGTGAGGACGATGTCACCGAGTTGAACCTGGCAGCACTTGAGGCCTACAGATTGCGACTAGCGAAGTTAAACATAAACACCAAGGAAGCGTCGGAAACTAACACGTTTGACAGGCTAGAGAGACACCTTTTCAAGAGAAAGTTTGGTGCTACGTCACTGGACGAGGCGGGATCATGGAACGTCGCAAGAAACAAAGAAGAAGTTTTAAAGAAAATAACAAAAGACTAAGGAAAAGGAGAACAATTTTCTGTAAACTTTGAACAGCTCGTATTATTTATAAAATTTCATAAAGTATTATATAAAATTTTGTTGTTGTCAGGGGAATGTGGTACCGTGTAGTACTGCTGCCACAGTAACCTCTGAGAATAGTGCTATTAATTATTCTGTTATGTATTGTCATTACTATTCAAGGCCGTTCATGCAGGCCAAGCGCAATAGTCATTTAGGACATTGCTGTTGAGATAGAGACATGAAAAGACAAGCATGATCTCAGATCTAAATTAAGACAAAGTTAGCAGTCTAAATTAAAACGTTTTACTTATTCTGTTTTACAATTACTTGAGTAAATCCAACAGTTATCACACAGGGAAACGAAGTTTCAACACCAACCACACACTGAAGTTTCGTAAGGGTCTATCCTGTCTCTCAGAGAGCTACTCAAGCTTGTTTGGCTGTTTGTTTTTGAGCTCCGTGACATCGAACTGTACTTGCTGACTTAGAAAGATAACGTTTGAGGGCCTCTAGGTAGGTTCTTGCTAGGCTAAGTTCTCTGAATTTTTTTATTTACATTTTAATTTGCCTGAAACTAGAGAGTTAAACTTAGATCTTAACTTAGAACCAGCTTCGCTTGACCCGAAAAAAAAATCTTTCTCCGGCACCGAAAACCGCAAAAATTGTGGTATTTTATCGTTATCAAGGAAAGATTCTCTGGAGACATTTTTTAAAATTCCTGCTGGCATTTAAAGCTCTGGTCAATTCAGGGGCGGAGCTAGGATTTTCTCGAGGGGGGGGGGCGGATTTTCAAAAAAAAAATCGAATTTTTGTCGACCTTTTTTTTGAAAAAATTTTGAAAAAAAAACAGGCCAAAAAGGCTTTTTTAGGCACATTTTGGAAAATTTTGACCAAAAAAAATGCGTTTTATCGGCGCGCGCTCTCCCCTCAAAATTCGTATAAATAGTACAAAGGGGGACCCTTTGGGTCGCTAAGGGGTCGAATCCCTGAGTAAGAGGAGGGGAGAAAAGCGTCCAACCCCCCGCTCCCCCCACTAAATCTGCCCCTGGGTCAATTACTTTCAATTGATGATTGCTTTATATCAACGTGAATAAAATTTTTCGATTTTTAAGAACTTTCCCTGCATTATTGTGGATTTTTTAAAAAAGTTATCCGAATCATTTCTTTATTCGATCAATTCTTCAGCATCATTAAACTGAATTAAGCACAGTGCATCTATAAATCACCACGATCACCATATCACTAAAAAAAGTTTTCTATTTACGGTTATGCTAAAAAAGATATTCAAGCATTTTTTTCGTAAATGTTTTCAAGCTGTTTGAGTTGTACCCAAAATTGATATTGTTTTGTGAGTATGTGCTTCTGTTTTAAAAACATTGAAAAGTTCAGGCTAAAAAAACTAGTATTAAGATAGAAAGAAATATGCACAACTGAAGTGTTAAAAGAAGAATAAAGACTAGAATAAAGAAGAATTAGAGAATTCGCTAAACGCTCTTTATTCATCTTTTTAGTGCCAAGGCTGGTTTTTGTTATGTGAAATTTTTTGGATGGTCATTCACGTGGCAACGGGAAGCAATGTACCTGAGGGCCGCATGTAAAACTGATTGGGTACAAGATTTTGCTTTCGGAGGGCAGATTTAAGTGAAAATAAGATTGTATCGCAAAATAATTTTTTTATAGAAAGTTTTCCATCAGGATTTGTTTTCTGAACATGTTTGATTTTTGAAGGCCTATTGCTTCCTCAAAAAACATCACTATACTTAGATTGTCCCTCTGAAAAAACCATGACTTTGCTTTATCGAAATCTAATTTAGTTCAGCCAAAGTTCACATTTAATCGAGCCCAAAGCTTAACGTATTCGCAAATTCGCATCAAAATTGAAACAATCTGTCGAACACAAACTTGTTATGCATTTTAAATGAGTTATTTTGTCGGAAGGTTGCTATCGTAAAACAAGCCCAACCCAGGTCATAGTTTTTTCTCACTTTGCAAAGTAGATGTAGCAAAAAATGTTTCCAGACTGTTTATTGGTTATGCGTTTCATGAGCAATTTAAAATCCCAGTAAAAACTAAATTGAAAATCCCAGAAAATTGAATAAGCTAAAAAAAACTGACATCTAAAGCGATTGTCTCATTTTTGTGATTGATCTTTTTTGAAGCGTCCGCTGTTATTTTTGCTAGACTATTTTGACTACCAGGAGCAAATCTTTGACTTTTTAAATTCGACGTTATTGTTTTTTCCGAGCTCTCCCAAAGTCTAAGAATTTGTTTGCACAGCCATTTCCGCGCGCAAAAAAATGCAAAAGAAATTTGCGAGTCATTAAGCGTTTAACTAAAATTTTTCTCCTCCTTTTGGTATACAATTTGCGCCTTTGACGTTTTTTTAAATTTAAATATTTGCAAACATACATCCTTGCTTTTATTTCCTGTCTGTAGCTGGTAAAATAATTCAATCTCAAATCTTGGATTTCTTCTAGTTATAGAAGCTATCATGGGTTTTTCATGGCTATCTTCCATTGTTCATGGCTAAAATATATACAATTTCTTCTATTAATTAATTTACAGAACAGACAACGATGAAATCTTACATGCATTTTGTACAAAAGATATCTTCAGTATTTTTTGTTTTACCTAAAAGAAAATGTTTTAGTTAGAAATTTCATTTTGATCTGAATTTCGGATTTCTTCTCCTCTGGTTTGTCTTTGAAAACGAAGAAGGTCACAGCTCCTGAGACAACTAGACATCCCAGAGATGCCAGCCACGACATCCACACTAGGCTCAAACTGTAGGCAACCTGGGCTTCTTCGTCCTTGTATGTCAGGTTTATGAGCAGGTCAGTGGTCTGAATGGTCACCGGGTCGAAGGTGAAGGAGGCGACTGAGACGGAGCAGAGGGTGAAGATCATCTGGAGAGTGGTGAAGACTAGACAGCAGATGGCCACAGCCTTGTTCTGTTCAAATATCAAAAAAAAAATTAGAGCAAAGTTAACAACCCCCCGCCTTTACTAATAGACCAAGTGCAGACCTCCCCTAAAAAGTCTCAGTTGAGATGCTTCTAGTTGAGACCAGACTGAACTGCATAAGTATCTGGGACCAAGTGAACAATCTGCCCCCTAAATCAATTTGGAGGGAGATTGTTCACTTGGTCTATAAGGTGAGATATTGTTCACGTGGTCTATAAGGGGTGAGATTGTTCACATGGTCCGCCATATCATGCTATTTTCAGAGCAACTTCCTTTCGTATTTTATTCTTTACGGCTGAATTGGGGAATTTAAACAGTCAATTTGGGTTCTCAATAGGTGACTCAGAATCCAGTTACTGGACCATCAGTCGATCAGAATCCAGTTACTGGACCATAGGCCATGTGAACAATCTCCCCCATAATAGACCAGTGATATAATTTTTTTGGTTTTTTCAAAAATAAATGACGAGAAAAGCGTCGAAAAGTTCAGTCTCTCATTTCCAATGACTGAACAAATGAACTGTCCATAACGTCGATTCGACAGAAAGTTTGGCTAAATATAAACAATTCAATTAACCTACCCTGACGCATAGATGCACGTAGAAGAGTATTAATGAGATCAGTGCGGCTGTTTCGGCGAAATGAACCATCGTTTTTATGGCCACGTAGTGACCCCACTTGTGATCCATTGTCTCTCTAGAACAAAACAGTTTTATTTCTTCGAGGATTTGTTAAAAAATATTCTGAATGTTCTTGTCAAATGACAAATAAAAACGGCGCCGCAGTGAAAAAATGCTAATGACTTTGTGACGAAGCAGATGGTTGACTTCAAAAATGTGCTCGATAAAGATTACCAACGGAGATAGACGGAGACATAATCAGAGATAAGGTATGCTTAGCATTGAGAGCCGATTAAATTGGATATTGGTGTTAGGACCAACTGACCAACCAAAGGTACTATTTGACACCCGTTTTTGGCCGACCCGACCAATTCTATTTTTTTTTCTGAAAGCGTTTTTGGCGCCAATATACTCTAAACTTAAGGATAGAAGAACGCATATTGGCTCCTATATCCTAAATCTGCCCCTGATGTACATACGAAGACTCCAAAATTTCATAATTTTTGAAAAGTCCGTCATATTTTAAAAAAACGTGCAGAAGCTTTTGCAGTATCAAATACTCTTGCAGTAGCTTTATTGCATTACAGCTAAAGATTCCATTTTAAAAAGTCGAAGTTATTTTTTTGCATCCCCCTCCTCCCATATTTCAGTTTTTTATAGTTGTTTTACGTGTGTGGGAGAGCCAAAACTTGCAGGAAAAAGGAAAGTCTAGAAATAGCTATTTAGTTATATAGTGAGTAAACTGACACGTCGCTCTGGTCCAGAGAGTGGCAGTGCCAGTCTTCTTTGCCTTTCTCTCTGTAACACATGGTGTATACTCCTCCCACGTACTCACGCTCAATTGCCCAGTTATTCCTCAAGTCCGCGTACCTACAGAACAACAAGAATAAAAACCCGAAGAATGAAAACAGAAGAAGAAGAAGAACAAAGACACGAATAAGATGTGAAACAATAAGATGTGGCTGAATTCTGAAACTGATCCAGGTAATCAGCGCTAATTCCCAAATGAGTAAAAGTTTCAATTTTGATCATGGATAAGTGGCCACGAATCAAGGCCTGAAACAGCGATATTCATCTCTGCCCCCCCCCTTTTGCAAAAGGGAGTACATCGTTACGGGGTACAAAACTTGTATCTACTTAACCGTTCAAGTATTCCTTAATATGAGACGGAACATCTTTGTTTCTATATAAGGCACCATAGGGCATAGAGCAAAATCTAATGTATCTATTAAAATGAAGGGGATCAACATGGAAATTTCAGTATTTGATCTGTGTCTGACAGTCATTGATCTGTGAAACTACCTCACCCTCAAGACATAAATAGTTTGTTCGCCTATTTAAAACCCCAGTGGATTTAAAACGTTTGCAGTAAATTTCTTAAAAAAGTTTGTAAAAACTTCAATTTCCATCGATCATTTTTCCCTTTGTTTACCAAGGGTGTTGGGTTATCGAGGAGGGGTTCAAAACTTTCCATCGTACCCCCCGCCAATCCTCAGCGGCCGTTACAGAAGCTATTTTGAAACCTTGTAATTTCCTCTCAACCTTGTTCAACCTCGTATGAAAGGGGATTTTCATCATGTACAGTAAGCTCCTCGAGGTGCCCAATGACCCCTGTAACCCGTACCCAGTAAATTTTCTAAAACAGATCTGATATTCTTTATTTCTTGTGTAAGTTAATTTTCAGATCTGAAATTCTTTATTTCAGAACCTAGATAAGAATTAACCAATTTCAGATCTGAAAATTATTTTTTTTGATAAAAATCGAAAATTTCAAAATTTCGAATTGCATCTTGAAGTTTTGTTACGTGTCTTGTTGAGCATGAAAATATTTAACTTTAGATCAAAAATGCCTATATATCAAAACTATATTTAATAAGTCAGTTTTAGACGGCGAAAACATCTTTTTCGACTTAATCTTACCGTTGTTGATGTATGTTTTTTTTTAGATCAGATTGCATACATTGCGAGAAATACAGCATACAAGAAATTCAGATACAGCTTGCCGGAAATACAGAAATTCAAATACACTACAGGATCCAATAGAGCATTGCAAAATTCAGATACAGCAAAGGAACAGGACATCAAGTTTGTATATTTTAAGATCGCTGTTATTAAAATACTTTTTGTTTGTTTCAATTTTTATAAAGCGATCAAATCGCCTGCTTTTGATTCACCGCCCAGTCATTGATCATATTGGGCCTTGAACCACCGACCTTTCGACTTTAACCGTTAACCACTTCGCCATCGCTCCACAAAGTTAATTGAGTATGACTCACCACATGGCTGGCCAGTAGAAGAAGAAGGCGAAGCAGAAGAAGCACAGCTGCCCCATAACCCCACAACAGGCGCTGATGCGTCTCAGCACCGAGAACTGTCCTTCACCATTGTCACCCATCTTCAATTTCACTCTCTTTATGGTTTCTTATTGCTGGAAAAGTTGATTTTATTCGGTTTTATTATCATTATTGTGCTGCTTTTGACATCTACAATTTTTCCTGAGAGTCCAATTCCCACATTCCTCATAACCCCCCTCCCCCTTCCCCAAAATTACTCCCCCAAATCAACCTGACGAACAAACAACTATACTCTAAGATGTCAATAGATACTGCCTTTGAGCTAAAGGGACTTGCGCGCATAAAATAAGGATTTATTGTTTATGCCTCTCAAAAAAGAACAAAATGACATTTTGACACATTTTCACAAAAGTTTTTGGCAAAATGCGAAAATTATAGCCTGATAAGAAAGATCGAAAAAAAAATTGACGACCCTAAAATTATTCGAAACAGTTTTTGCGTTTAAATATTCTCACCTTGAGGAAAATCAAAGCCCTGTTTCCAATCCTTTTCAAAAGTCTGATCAAAGTAAGGCGTTTTTTGGATAAGTATTCAAAATTCAAAACTGAGCAGATTTTAACGCTGAATGTTTTTATGAAAAGCAAATCATATAAAATTAAATTCAGTTTTTGGCAAACAGTAGATATAAAAACAAGGCATATGATGATTTAACGATTTAAAAGACCAGTTGAGTTTAATTATCTAGCACAAAGTGCCTTACTTATCAGTTTTTTATACAGAAAAAAATGCCTTCAAAACAAACCAACTGGCGCATAATATTAAAAACAATGGCTAAGACCAGAAGAACCATCAGAACATTTTAATTACATTCAGCCATATGAAGTCGAATTGGTCATCAAAGCGTAAGAAAAGTAATGAAAAAACTATGTTTCATTAATTTCAGAGACAGACACGATTTTTAGTTTTTTTGAAGAACAAGTTTTTGATGGCGCGAATTGAAAAGCCACAACAAATTTGGCAAAGCTGAAAATCGGTTCAAAAAGATGTCGAAACAGCTAAAGCTTTGTTCCAAACACAAATTGGGAAGAAAACATTACTTCAAACGTTTTTTTTGCTTTATTTGGCAATAATAAATAAAAATCAAATTCTATTTAATTTCAACGCCCTTTCAGCCGTGATCCAATGAATACTTACAACAAAAAAATCCTCAAAATTTCATTAAAAAAACATCTGAAAAGTTATGAATTATTTTGTATTTGCTAAAAAAATTTTACCAACATAACTGTTGCTTTTTGTACTATTTTTTTAACAATAACGGGAGGCTATTCTTCTTGTTCCGAGTTCCGAAGAACGTAACGAAATAATAGCAATCCGTGTTTTTTTCTCAGACAAAGTTTGACTTTTAACTCTCCGCTTTTGATCATATGGAAATTCACGGTAATTTGGCTCAATTGGGAAAACAAACGCGGTACATATTTTGTGCTATGAACGTTGAAAAAGCTATTGAATCCGGCTCAGAAAACTTGACATATTGCCCTGACTTTGAAAGTAATTTAGGAGTTTAGGACTTTCAAAGTAATTTAGGTTGGCTTTTTTTAACTCAAATTCTCATAGAAAACTGTAGAATGGTAATCCACCAGAGAGTGTTTGTTTTCTCATGAGGGAATATTCATACTAACCCGATTTTTCTTGGAGTCCAAGTAAGCTGGTCGTTTAAAACTTTGAAGACTACATCTATGATGCATTAAGCGTAGCACGAAATAACAACCTGCTAAAAATATATTTCAAATTCAAGGCAATCTACTGGCCAAATTAGATTTCGAATAGCATTATCAGTTAAAAAATTTTAAATTAAACTTTAGTAAAAAATTTCTAATTGTTTTTGGTTTGAACGTTTTATCAACTATTTATCCTTTTCAAAAAATTCTTTCAACCAGTATTTCAAAGACGTTAATAGCAATAAAAAACTCAAGGATTGATGCTGATGAAATATTGACTTTCAGATTTTTGCAGAAAGTAACGAACTGTTTGAGCTAAGTATTGCTAAATTTTCTCCACATAAATTTCGATTTCCCACTAAAATTTTTCGAACAAACACTTTTATTCACACAGAAAAACATCAATATCATGAGTGCAAAATAAAAGAAAATATTTACCAGTTGCCATATTTATTTAAATTTGCGTTTATTTTGGCCAAATATTGCGGCTTTTTTACCAGTTTTCTATTTACCCGAACCCTTGAGGGGATTTAAGTCTTCCAAATAAGATTGAAGCAACTGAGTTGTTGCAATTGTTTTCTTAGACTTGAACTATATCTTTGTGTACATGACAATGGTGCAGGGGTGGGAAGAAGGTTTAAGAACAAGAAAAAGAAATATTATGAGTATTTTCCTTTTTGAAATCTTTTATAAGTTTAAAAAAAAAATTAATGTAGGTACCAGAAAAAGCAGCCAAAACAAGCAGGGCTAATATAAGCAGTCTTGATGTTCCGACCTTCGGAAAAAATGACTAAAAATTTGCGCTTGTAATTTTTTTCTCCAGGTAAACTTCGAATTTTGATCTAGCCATTTTTGACGTTTTTTTTTTACAAAACTTGCAAAACTTTTTTCGACTAGTTTTTTATACAGTTCTGAGGGTTCACAATTGCCAGAGTTTGTAAGTTTGTAATGACAAAACGTATAGTAGCAACAGCCCAATAGGTAGTTTTTTTTACCTTTTATTGAATTGGCTGCAATTCATGACCTGGGAAATAAGAGAGGTCATTTTGCGAAACTAAAATATACGTGCTCATCTACACTAAATTAGCTTTAAGAAATGTTTTGCAGATGTATTGAGTCATTTTCATTTGACGAACACGTTTTGAGAGTCATTTCTTTGTTGTTTATCTAACCATGGAGGCATTTAAGGCAAGTTTTTATCTTAAGAACTAGAAACTTTATTGTGGTTGGGTTTTCGACCGACTGATTTTCGACCGACTGAACAAATTCGACCGACTGAACAAGTGGGTTTTCAGTGGGTTTTCGACCGACTGAACAAATTCGACCGACTGATTTTCTCCTGGCATTATGATGTTTTTTTCAACAGCCTTTTGTTTTGGTAAAGTTTAACCTTTACACTTATTAACCGATTAATTGTTGAAAACATCCATAAAATGAAAAGTGTTCCGATATGGAGACAATACGTCTTAGAGGGGGCCAATTGTTCAAACGATAGTTTTTTTGTTCAAACAGATTTTAGCTGCCAAGTAATTTGCGGACACAATTGGACCTCATTCAACAAAAAATGTTCTGCTTACAAAAACGTTCTTATTTTTTTGACGTTCTGATAATAAATTGGTCTTATTTTTATATCTGGCATGTGTTAAGAAATTGTTTGTTTTGTTGTTGATCCGCTTTTTTCAAAAAAAAATACGAAACATTTTTTTGGTTGTTTTCTCCTGTTAAATTGGAAATAGCCCAAAGAAGTACCACTGTCAACTACTCCACTGTGTGTTTCTGCGAGTTACAAATGATGACGAGGTGTTTTCTTGATTCCAGAGAAATTGTAGCAAGAAGTTGATTCCAGTGAAATCGTTGTTTGCGGTACGTCAGTTTGCAGTAGGTCTGTTTGAATGATAAATGACATCAAAAATATCAGGCATCTCACATTAAAGGTTCTCACAAGTTCAGGCTTCTCACATATAATTATACTCTAACGTATTTTGAAAACGTTGATTGTAAAGTGGTTCACCAAAACAATTTGGTTTTCTAACTGATTTGTTAAGCATTTATCGCCTTCTATTTTTAATGTGCACAAAGTCAGGTTACAACACGATATGCATATCCAAGTCGTAGCTTTCACATATCTTTTCGGAATTAAAATCCTTGCTTTGCCTTGATTTATAAGCTACTCGCAATAACGAAAATGATTTTGGATTAGTTTAAGTTGATTTTCAATCGATTTTAAATTGACCCAAATCGATTAACAAGGTTTATTTTCAATACTGAAATGGATTTTAAATTGACACACATGCCAGACAAAAAATTTATGACAAAAGTCAATTTAATTCACAAAAATTATCAATGTGAACCAGATTTTGGGGGAAAAACTATGCAACAAAAGAAAAAATGGCCAATATCGAGCAGTGTTTAAGCAAAATTTGCAATGAAATCATCCACATAAATCGATATTTTAAAAAGTAATTGGTGTTTATTTTATAGTACCATACGATATGGATGTGAAATGAAAAATGATAGTCAGTGAAAAAAAGCAACGCAAACTTGAAATTCATGAGTTTTGAATTAAAAAAAACCAAAACGAATAAAACCCTTTTCAATCCCGCTAAAAATAAGAACAAGATAAGACTAAAAAACTGGTTTTAAAATCAATTAGGAACAATTTTTATTAGCTGAGGTTAATGATCGTATTAAATTATTTCAAATTGATCCACATCAATCTTAATCTTTTCTATTTAACCTTAGATTATTGTAAAGTCGATCTTAACCCATTTTTGTCAGTGTGGGTAATTTTTGTTTGCTATAAACAGATATAATGAAAAAAAATGTGGAATCAGGTTTTTATGAAACGCTTTGAAGTTTTTTTCACTTTTGCAAAAATTATATAGTTTTTCTCAAAAACTACTCGGCCGATTTTCAATAAATGGTGCCAATAGGTCTACTATGCTGTGGGCCTGCATAATTTTCTAGTCTTTTTGCACCTTATCCCATTTTCTACATCCTTTGAAAAAGTGTTTGAAGGGAAATTTTGAACCAATTTGTTGGTTTTCTTACATTTTCTCAAAAAAAAGACTCCGAAATCTGAGATTTTGGGTTCAATGGATAGAAAAGGTTGTGAGAAGTTCCCCTGCATAAGTGATTACATCCAATAAGCAAAAATTCCTAATTTTTCTCTTACTCAAAAAATTGTGGCCCTCAGAATTTCAAATTTTTGATTTTTTGACCCTTTTTTTAAAACTTTTTGACTTTTCTCAATCCCCGGAATAAACACTTGCACCCAAAAAGTTTTACACAAAAAAATATGATCCTCGGAAAAGTCATAGTTTGATAAGTTTGAATAAAAAGTTAACAGTTTATATCATTTTTGTGACCAAATTTTGAAACTTTTGAACTTTTTCCACTTTTCTCAAAAACTCCGCTCCTAAATTTTTGATTTCGGTCAAAAGCACGGGTTGTGAGCAAAGCTCCTTTGTAGAAGTGATTATGCTCAAAACTTTACACAGAAAACTGCGACCCTCGGAAAAGTCAAAACTTCGAACTTATCAAACAGGTGCGTCCAGCTTTAGCTGGGCCTTTGGTTTTCTTGTAATTTATTCTAGATTACAGACGGCATCGAGCAATCTTAAGTAAGTCATACAGTAAACGGCTCGGTTTTGATTGAATTATTCCTCAGGGTACAATACACAGATTTTTGTTGTTCAGCTTACAGAATATTGATATGGCTAGCGTCAAAACGTATATCTTTCGTAATTTTCTTCAAAACTTGGAACAACAACATAGCAATTTGAATGAAGCCTTTCAAGTTCTACTAATAACTATGTCCTAACTCATGCCAGATATAAGTTTAAAGTCAAGTAATTTTCAAAAAATGAAAAAAAAATCAGAAGTATTTGGTAATCAGAACAATTTATGTTGAATCAAGTCAAATTTTGTGAAACCACTTAGGTAGTTTCAAATTGTGTGAACAAAAAAACTATAGTTTCAGCAATTGGCCCACCATTAGACCTAAGTTCGCCATAACTGAATCATTTTGTTGAAAACATTACCTATAATTGCTCATAATCGTTCCAAGTTCAATTGAGGCAAGCTAATTGGTCTTTTTATTTCCGTAAACGACTCAAATTTTAACACTTTGATATTATCTGCCTTAATTTTGTAGTTTGTTAATAATTCATATACTGAAAACTATTCTAGACCAATTAATGGGCAGTCGGAAGGCTTTGTCCTGATACAAGCGGTCTTGTTTTGGTTGTTTGGCGTTTTAACAAATTGTAGCGCAGTTCAATTTCTAATGAAACAAGACTACTCGAATATCAGGCCAAAGCCCTGAATGTTCCGACTGCCCCTTAATCCATATCGAATAATTTTGGGGAAAGAACATATTGGAAATCTATAATTTTTGGACAATATCAAAGATCAAATGTAAAAACTTGATTTGTGAGCTTTCAGAAGTACGGATAAAACAAATAAAGCACGGATAAATTAGTCCAGAGCGTGGCCAAATTGGCAATTTGCAAACCCCAAAGTTTTTCAAAAAATAGTCGAGGATGAATTTTTTTCATAAATCTGATTTCAGTGAGTCGTTATCTTCAATGGGGCATAACATTATTTCTGTTGAAAACTATTATTTAGATCGCCGAAAATTGACTGAATTAAAAACAGCACACCAAACATAATTATTCTGTTTTCTTCGAAAGTCTGAACAATTAAAGTTGGCTTACAATCTACAATCTGTAATTATTTTTATTTTAGAAAATATGTCAAAATTACAATCATTATTAATTAGGAATCCACTTCTTTTGAACTCCATTTTTGAAAATGTTAAGTGCTTTAATCTTCAAGTCAATGTTTCTTTATAAGGAAACTTTGGTTTCGTGTTTTTTCCATACCTATGCATCGTAATATCATTGCATTACTCAGCCTTTTAATGTAAGTTTGTCAGGGCAATTGATTTTGGTGCTCCAACACAACAATTGGAGCACTAAAATTGCAGATATTGTTGCAGTTATTGTTTGATTTCATGCCTGGAAATAAATAAATGAATAAATGTTAATATCACAACCAGGGGAGGATATAGAATTTTCTCGAGAGACGGGGGGTTCAAAATTTGTTCGAAAATTTTGTCGACCGGACTGATTTTTTGAGCACTCCTAGAACATTATAAACCACTATAAATACTCAATTTTGACCAAAAAAATAGCGCCGCAGGCAAATTTTAAAAATGACTGGTCAAAAAGCCGTTTTCGGCGCGATTCAAAATTAGTATAATTTGGCGCCCATGGCGCCTTAGAAAAATTTTAGTGTTGTTCGGCCTAAAGTGGATGTCATAAATTAAGAACAAAGGGGACCTTTGGTTGGTAAGGGGTCGAATCCTTGAGGGGAGGGAAAGCGTCCGAACCCCCCGCCTTCGCCCTAAATCCGCCCCTAATCACAATCATGGTAAAAGTGTCAAGGTCCTGAACGCTTGGTTTTGCAGGCTTTTTGACAAACAAAAATTTTGCATCTCAAATAAGCCAAAAAAAAAATTGTGAATCAATTCTTATATCACAAACACCGGAAAGAAACAGGAGTTTGCAAAAAATGAAACTTCCACAGAATCTTTTTGGACTAAAAAGAAACCAAAAAGGAGTAAGCCAAATAAATAGTGGTTTAGGTTGAAAGTTGTTTCCCGTACCGAAAGTTGATGAGTCATAATCGATTATAACGGGTTTCTTGTCCATTATAATCGGTTAATTTCAATAACTAGAAATCCATTATAATCGATTCTAATCGCTTATAATTCTTTTTGTTTTCAAAACGACCGATCATTTTTTGTTCTTGATATCCATAAAAATAAATTGTTTTTTAATTTTTTGCAGTTGTGATTTGCTTTCTCTGTTTTTTGCAGCTTTCTGCAAAACTCGAACCCGAACGAACGAAAACAATCATATTCAGGTTCACCACCAAGTTTTGGGTTCTTTTAGCAACCGCTTAAGCACCCTCTTCCACAACTTCCCCCCCCCCCTCCACTCCACCCCTGTTTCTTTCATGATTCGACTCTAGTTGGGGAGCGGTGGTGAAGTGGTTACGTCTCCGCCTCTTAATCGAAAGGTCGGATGTTCGAGGCCCACCATGATCCGTGCTCGTTGCTTGAGGGTGAAACAACATTACCCTGCCCAGAAAAATAACCAAAAAAATAGCATGTAGTTCTTAAACAGGGGCACAACAGCGGTTCGCCGTGATGAGCTGTACAGCTCTTGTGTTGGTCCTTTCCCCCGTGGATAAATGGTCTTAGTTAGGCCGTCTCAGCATGAGTGTAAAACTAGACATCGTTCAATTATTTCGGTACAATCATAATTCGAGCAGGGAAGGGTAGTAATGGACGCTTTGCCAGTATTCCTGAAATTATTTAAACGAAACTGAATCGGAAAACCGAAGCGAAGAACAAAAAAGAACAAACTAAAAGCTGATTGAATTGTTAAATTACAATTTGTCATTATAAATTCATCCGTTATCGTTATTTATATTAGTTTCAACGCTTATTTAATTTATATATTTAGGATTTTGTCACGTTTAGGATCTCTGCAACTACTGAAGATCTAGCTTCTTGAGAGTCCTTCAGCAAGACCCATTTCCTTGTACTCCTGGCAGATGGAGCATGCTCCACAGAACAAGATCATGACAATGTCCATGCACAAACCGCCCTCGATTCCCTTGCTCTCACGCACCTGGAAAACAAACAACAATTAACAATAAACTATTAAGCACACCATTATTGAAAGAGACATAAATTTTATTTCGAATACCACTTTTCAACCGTCCTTTAAATACACAACTGTTCTGAACACATTCGGTCATCGTGCTCAAATGAACAGCTTTAAGCCTCAATACTGTGATGAGAGTAAGTGACGTTGTTTCTAGGTACGGGATGTAATTAAATTTTTACGATTTTTTATCACATTTTTTCTAGGATCTTGCTCAATTTCTAAAACGATCCTTTGATTTTTCCAGAAAAAAAATCCTTTTCACAGGAGCTCGTACTGTTTTCTTGAACGAGAATGTCAAATTCTACTCACCTTTCCTCGAATCTTAGCCGGGCAGTAAAAGTTAGCAATGGGAATTATCATCCACACACATCCGTGCATGATGCAGGACTCCTCAAATGACTCAGCTATCTTTCCCTCCAGGTAGCAGGGGATGAACATACCCATGAGACATACTTTGAAGTTGCTGAAGCAGCTGAACAGACTATTGCTCCATTCTCCCATTTTTGTTTGTTTCTTGTTTGTTTTTGTTGGTGTCCTTGAAAAATTTTAGATTCTCAAACCTGAAACAATTGTATAATAAAACAGCACAGTTTTAAAAACTACAAAACTACAAAAAAGGACAATGGAAACCTACGCAATTGTTAAAACGGAAGCTTAAGTCGCTCATGAAAGTTAAGAGTGTTTCTATTGAAAAGATTTTTCTCTAAAAGATGATTTTTAGTTTATGGTTATTTTTTGATTTTCTGAGTGTTACCAAGTTTTTAGCCGCTGATTTTGTTTCACGCCGACTTGCAACCTTTACGACTTGCAAGAAAGACAACTTAAAGGAATTTTTTATGGAAAAGTGGAAATTTACTAATGACAGGAGAAGGTTGGTTCAATTGAAAAGAAAAAAAAAAGACATTTTTAATGAGCAGACATACCTGTTGAGTTTGACTGATTTACTTTGTTTATTATTTACTGCGAGGAGCACGTATGAAAATATAGACTAAAATGGCTCTTTTTTCGAAAACCACCTTCCAATTTAGCTTTTGCTTTGACGATTTTTGATGTTGCTATGATGAACTCTGCCATTTTTACGCCACAGGCAAACGTAAAACTTTAAAAATATTAATAAAAGTACTTTATAAACGTTAACCAGCCCACGTGTTTATTTAAAACTAAGCCATTACATTCATTTATTGGTACTTTATTGTTTTAAGCATACGACGACGAGGCTTGTTAAATGAAGCATCGCTCATGTAATTTGCGTGCTTTAGCTTTCAAGAGGCATGTAAATTACGCATTTTTATTTAATAATTTTTCAAGATATATACTCTTGACAAGCAGTTTTATGCAGCTCATAATTGGCGGATTTTGCTAGATGTGACGCACAGAAAATTTAAAAAACATGCGTTCGATGGTATTAAATAAGAATATAATTTTTTACGAAGCATTTTGTTACGAACATGAAAATGAAAGTAATTCATGAATTAGAGCTGTTCTGAATGAGTAAACTTCACCATGAATAAATTAGCTTCAAGCCAACTTAAAAACCAATGTGAATTATGCAACTGGAAATAAATCCGAGAGTCCGAGAAAACATGTTTTTCGAGCCGAACCTGAGTTACGAACCACGGAAAGTTTATCAAAAACTGGGCGACTTTACTTAAAAAGGCACAATTCAAGAAATTATTCTAACTTTAAATCTGGTAAAATGAAACCACTGAAGTTTTTTGACTTATTAACAAGTCAGTAGTATTGTATCGTGTCCCGGATCCTAAGGGGGGGGGGGGTACTTCCTAAGGTGGGGGGTCCTCACGTAAAGCAAAATCCTAGGAAAGGGTTCCTTAATTTTTTGGAGGACCCTCATTCTAGGATTTTAAAAACGAAAGAATTTTCCACCCGAAAAGCAGAAGACCCCCTACCTAGGATCTTGCTAAGCTTAGCTTAACAACAAGGGACACGATACAAAATTCTTTCTAATCCAATTTTTGGGGTCCTAATTATTGATCCTGGCTTATTATATGAATCATATTAATGGTTAAATTTGTTTCGGGCAAATGATTTTTCGACCTAGTTGAAATTTGTTAGTGATTGGGGAATTGACTCTTATGGTATAAAAAAAATTCGCCGGCAATTTTGGCAGCGTAGCTTAACTGTTAGCAGTAGTAAACTAATTCCTTAACTTGACATATATTATATAGTAAAAAGGCAGTAAATTGAAATAACTCTCCGAAGGCGGCGGCTTCAAAATTTGAAACGAGAAAAATGAAATTAGAGGGAGCATGGTGTTTTTAAGAAATTGATAATTAACTCATACAATTTAGAGGGTTTTCAACCATACAAAAAAACTCAAAGTTCCAAACCGGGGAAAAACAGTAAGCTGTATTTCCCTAGAGGGGAAATGGAAAATTCAATGGGGAAAAGACGAATAGAAAAAGAAAAATAAGAAAGGAACATGAAAAAATGCACCAAGCTTTTGTCAAAAACTTGGTGCATTTGTAAAAAACAAAAGTGTTTCGGGTAGTTCATATGGTTATTTACCGCCGGAAATTAGACAAGTCTAAAAGTATCTGCTAGGTATTTTTTATCTCCAATGGCTGACATTTAGCAGCTTGGAGAAGCGTTGGAAAAAAAGCATTGAAATTAGGAAAAACCGAGTAACTGCAAATGATTTAGAATTAATTAAAGAAATGTATACGTCCTTAACACAAACTTATTATTATGACAGTTCTAACAAAGAAATTTTTAGTAGCTTTTTCTCATTCTTTGTTTGTTCTAATAACCTTATTTGTGACGTTTCAAATAAGTTGAGACCTTATGGTGGCCTAATTGGTATGAAAAACTGTTCCTTGGAAAAGTACTTGAACGAATCCAAGTTTTTATGATTGCACGCTTCTTTGCACGATGCAGCTGGATTTAAAGATGAACTTATCGGGGGTGTCAAATATACTGTTAAATGTTGCCCGGGAACTATAATCACAGCTTTCTGGGCCATTCGAAGGGAATAATTTTCTGTCTTTTCAATATTTTGAAAAAACCAAAAGTCTATCATTGAATATTTTACCTGAAAAATGTTATGCAGTTAACTTTTGAACACTGGCACTTTTTAGCTCTGTCATGTGCACACCACCATATGTCTACAGACCATCAATCTCGAATAAACTAATTTTTTCCTCTGCCATTATCATAATCTGAATTTTGAGAAATAAATAACTGGAATTTTGAAAACGTTTCAGCAGTCTCTTTTTAGTTAATGGCCTTGAGAACGGTTTCACGGTTTAGATAGGGTTCAATTGAGCCGTTCAGTAATTCAAGTAACACTTGCTGGCTTTCTGGTTTGCCTATTTATCATTTATCTAATGATTTAATTACTTACCTATTTTATGGCTTCCTTATCCTTTACTTATTCTTTTTGTTCAACTACTTCCTCACTTTACTTACTTACTCTACCTAACTTTTAAATTTTACCTCTGATTTACTTCTGATTCAACCTTTTTTCACTTGGCGTTTTTTTCCCTTTTACTTGATAACTGTCATGCTTGGATTGATTTATTTCAATTTACCTAACTTTACTTTACATTACTTTACTTAAATATACCTAATTTCATACTTAATTAAAACCTAACTTACCAACACACTTTTCACTTACATACTAACATGCATACATTTTGTATAGTTGCATACAAATATACACACATACTTGGATACATACAGACAGACAAAACAACAAGCATGCATCACTTTACTTTGCCTAACTTTACTTCTTTTATTTAATTTACTTATTTCTTTTTACATGATTCCACTTTACTCAACACCACCTAATTAACTTTAATTTGATGGATTCAGTGCATTTTGCATTCTCTCTTTACTTTACTTTACTTGGCCTTACTTCATCCTACTTTCTTTTACTTTACCAACTCACCTACTCACTTACATTCTTAATTAGTTAGTTAGTTACTTACTTACTTACTTACTTACTTACTTACTTACTTACTTACTTACTTACTTACTTACTTACTTACTTACTTACTTACTTACTTACTTACTTACTTACTTACTTACTTACTTATTTACTTACTTACTTACTTACTTACTTTTTACTTACTTACTTACTTACTTACTTACTTACTTACTTACTTACTTACTTACTTACTTACTTACTTACTTACTTACTTACTTAATTACTTACTCACTTACTTACTTACTTACTTACTTACTTACTTACTTACTTACTTACTTACTTACTTACTTACTTACTTACTTACACACTTACTTCTTTTTCACTTACTCACGTACTTACTTACTGACTTCCCTTTTACTTACCTAATTACTTACTTACTTACTTGTTTACTTGCTTCCTTAACTACTTACTTACTTATTGACTTACTTACTTACAAATCTACTTACCCACCTCCTTTCTGATATACCTAATTACTTTTTCGCTCACCATCATACTTTTTACTGACTGACTTACTTGCTGACTTGCTTACTGACTTCCTTACTTACTCCCATACTAACTCAGACTTTTCCTAAATACTCTCATACAGTTATGTCCATTTTTTAATATTAGCTTACTTCTTTTTAATTTTAGTTTTCTTTATTTTAATTTATTTTACCTCAACTTTTTTATTTTGTCAGCACTTCATCTCAGAGTACTTAGCTTTACTTTTCTTTATTTTCGTTTACTCACTTACTTACTTATTTAATTACTTACAACTTACTAACTTTTTTACTTACTTACTTAGTTACTTTTTACTTACTCACTTACATACTACTTACTTACATGATTACTATTTTTTTTATCTATTCACTTACTTACTTGCTTACTCATTTACTTCTTTACTTAGTTAATTACCTTTTTTCTTTTTTTACAAACTTACTTACATAATTACTTTCTGCCTAGTTACTTACATACTTTGCAGTCAGGCTTCACTTTACATAAAACTAATTAAATTTAGGCAATTTTACTGAACTTTTTTACTTTACTTCATTTCAGCTTACTTCCTTTACTTCAGTGTTAGTCTTATACTAACCTAACTATACTTTTAATTTTCCTTTACGTTACTTTGCTTTGCTTTGTTTTATTTTACTTAGTCTTAGCTCACGTTACCTAATTTTTTTTTACTGTAATAACTTGAACTCACAATAAACTTACTCCCTTTTTTTTCAACTTACTTTTAATTTATTTTATCTGCAGTACACCTTACTTCACAATGTTTTACTTTATTTTACTTGAGTTTACTTAAGTTACTTAACCTAACAGAATTCTTTAATTGTTTTTTTTTTTCAATTAAACCCTTACTTATTTTTTTCATAACGTCTGTACTTGACTGGATTTACTTAACATTTGTTTCTTTACCTTTTCAAATTTACATACTCCTACTTACCTAATTTTACTTTAAATTACTTCTCTTTTTTTTTTCTACCTAATTTAACTTAACTTCACTTAAATCCATATACCTATACCTATTTAATTAACTGCTATGTCATTTACTGCCTTACCTAGATAATCAAATAGATACTTTCTTACATACTTTCTGACACACCTATATAAAAAACTACACACATACTTTTTCAAATTTCTAAATACACAAACCCATTGATCGATTAGCCGGTGAAAGTGTTATTGTTTATAAGATAAATCAATTCCTGTAAAGTACATGAATCCGAAGTACGGTAGTAGTGATAGGTACGTTGAAAGCTCAGAGATTAAGCCGGTTTTTTGTTTATAAATAGCCATATCTTTGTGTAGTGACCCTTTATTTCAATAGAATAAATTGAAACTTTGAATGGTTGGTTGGTTGGAAAGATGTACAGAGGGATAGCTAGATCTACCAACGGATAGAAGCCTGTATGAATGGACGGTTTGATGAGTGGCTAGTTGGAACAAAACCTGATTGGATGAATGGATGGCTGAAAGTATGAACACTTGAATGAAAGGTTATATGAATAGATGGCTAGATAGCCGGAAGTCACGATCGATCAGACTGATAGATAGCTGGTTGGTTAGACGGATAATGGCTTGATTTACGCATCGAAAACTGATGAATGAACTATGGCTCGATGAATGT